TATATTGTATAACACTTGGTACAACAAATACTTGGCACTCTCATATCCCATACTGTATGGTATAACTGACACTTAAGCTATGAAAGGAACTTGATTTGTTGTTAACATAAGTCATAATCATGAATGCTTGATGAGATTTACAAGTATTAGCATTAATCAAAATAGATAAATAATGTAATCATGTTAACAATTTATAATTTGATTGGAACCTTATTTGTGTGTGGTTTCCAATTGAATAATAAGAGTTTATACTATACTTGTTTGACGTACTATTAATGGATCATCTAACCTTGACATTTATTGTTATCATTGTTTAATCCTTATGTTAATCTTCCATCTCAAAGTTCCCATCAATTTCTTTATTATTATTATTACTACTACGACCACCACCACCACTACCATTATTGTTGTTATTGTTGTTGTCATTATTGTTGTTGTTATTATTGTTATTGTATTATTGTTATCTATAATTTATATAATTAGCCTCCCTGTGGTTCGACCCCGGTCTTGCTAGGTTATTTATTACTTCGATACTCCTACACTTGAAAGAAGACATCAATCTTTTGGTCATGTTAATGGCCTTTTAACATTAGGACCTAACACGACCAAAATATTAATGTCTTTTTCCAAGTGCAGAAGTGTCGAAGTAATAAATAACCCAGCAAGACTAGGGTCGAACCACGGAGAGGTTAATTGTATAAATTATAAACAACAACAACAATAATAATACTAATAATAATAACAATGAAAAAGAAAAAAGAAGAAGTTGATAAGAATTTTGAGATGAAAGATCAATGTGAGGATAAAACAATGATAAAAACAAATATAAAGGTTAGATGATCCACTAATGGTATTTCAAACAAGTATAGTATAAACTCTTATTAGTCAACTAGAAACCACACACAAAAGAGGTTCCAATCATATTATAAATGGTTAGCATGATTACATTAGTTATCTTATTCGAATAATGCTAATACTTGTAAATGTTGTCAGGTATTCATAACTATAACTTATGTTAACAACAAATCAAGTTTCTTTTATAGCACAAGTGTCGGTTACACCATACGATTGGGCTATAAAAGTGCCAAGTATTTGTTGTACCAATTATTATACAAGATAAATCTAGATTAATCATTTAACAAGCAAAGTATTAAGAGTAAACAAGATAATAAATACAAAAATATTAATATCAAACATTAAAGTGCACATTGAGTTTACACTATACTTATTCTTACACCATTAGTATACATTTTTCACCTTGACATGATAAACTTTACTAAACATAATGAAAGAGAGAAATATAAATAAACAAGATAAGAACATAAATAAGATAAAATTTAACTAAGTAAAGAAAAGAAAATGCAAGGCATAAACAAGATATTAATTAAAGCAAAACTTAAGCATTTAAAAAAAATAAAGAGAGAAAGCAAGAGTATAATCTTGATCTGAAAACCAAGATGTCTATATGCATGACAAATGCCTCCTTTTATAGGTCAAATTAGGGAACTATTGATTTAATGACTAATTATTAACTAGGTGGTCAACTCTTGACTTAGTGATAATTCTTATCTTCTTGTCTACCCAAAACGTCATTAATAATGTTAGAATTTGAACCAAACTTCCACATGAAAGTTTTAAGAAATTATCTCAGCTTTTCAGGATAAACAATTGATGTCATTTGGACTTCTAGAACTCAAGAAATGGGTTGAACTTGTTTATTCAATACCTCATGCTTGTTGATGTGATCTTTATATAAACCTGTTTAAATTTAATATCATTCAAGCATATTATTAGTCCATTTTTATTTAATTGTTATCATCAAAATACATAAAATATCAATATGTAACTCCAAGGTCACCAAATTGGACATCTATAAGATTAAGGAAACAATGATCTAGACTCGAGAACCAATCTTTTTTAAATGAGAAAAATAAAAGTTTCCTGCAATGGTCCCTTTGATGTTAGGCTACTTAAGTTTGAGTTGGCAATGCAAATTAATAAAGTTTTTTTTTATGTTATTTACTATCAACTTGTGTACCAACTTTGAGCTCGAAATTGCATCTCTTTATTATATGAAAAATAAGTGTATCATGTATGATTTTAAAGTTCAGAGCATGATATTTTAAAATTATTCAACCATGCATGCATTGGAGCTGTGTACAAAAAGTTACAGTTACTTTATTTTTTAAGCTTTTTTTGTTTATGTTTGTGTTTATAATAAGTCAAAAATATGTGTTAGTTATTATTTATGTAAATTTCTATCAAATTCATTTATTTAGTCTCAATTATGTTATTTTGGTTTATTGTTAGACTTCAAGGGTTGTTCCAAATATAAAATGATCATTCAAATAATGTATGCTTTATCTTTTACTAAAATGTTAAAGAAAAGTCTTTAATTTCCTATTAGGTTTTGTATATCATTATGAATGATGGACTTTTACTTTTAACTTTGTATGTTTTAAAGAGGTGAATGAATATGTATTTTTAGAGTGATGAATTATTTGTATATGTATTTTTTTGTTTTGCACCTTATAATGATGAGCATAAATTATTCTTTATGTGAGTAAATTATTTCTAATATTCCTACCATCCTGGTGTCAAATTGAAGCTAAAATCTTTAATGATTCTAAATCATTTATGGATTGGGATCAACAATTAAAAATGAATGAGGAAGAGGAAGATGATACTAAAATGAAAGGTTTTGATGTAGAAATATCAATCTATAATAAGCCTAAAAATGACAAAAAAGTTCATGTTACTTTAATTAAGGAGTATATTGTAGAGGTGGTTCTAAAATTAGGTTTTTTATAAAGAGAATTTTAGAGGATGTGTTTTATATGTGACTACAGAGAATTATGAAATTGATAAAATTAAAGTTAATGTTCTTTAATAGGAAAATAGTGAGCCTCTAAATATTTTTGTCAATGTTCTAGAAATAATTTGTATTAGTTTAGAACATAATAGAGTTGATAAAAGCGAGGGAGTTGAGTTATTTTTTCATGATATTCAAGGGACATCCATGACATGGAAGTTAATGTAATTGATGTTATATGATTGTTTTTTATAAATTGCACAAAGGTAATGAAAGAGCTTTGATTAAGTGTCCACAAAATTAAGGAAAAAATTATTTAAACTAGAATGAGTCTTTTTTAACTTTAGAAACATGACACGAAAGTGTCTTTAATGATTCTCTTGATGTTGGACTAAGCAAATTTAGATTGATAATGTAAATAAATAAAGTTTTTGGTGATATTTATCATTATCCCGTAAGCTATCTTTGAACTTAAATTTACATCTCTTCATTGCATGAAAAAATAAGTTTTTTATAAAAGGCTTTAAATTTCAGAATATAGTCTTTTTAGATTATCCAACCATATATATATTGGAGTTTTGTACAAAAAACTATAGTTGTTTTAGTTTTTAAGCTTACTTTGTGTTTGATTGTATTTCTAATGAGTCAAAAACATGTGTTAATTATTATTTATCTAGTTTTCCGTCAAAGTTATTTATTTAATTATTATTTATCTAGTTTTCCGTCAAAGTTATTTATTTAATTATTATTTATCTAGTTTTCCGTCAAAGTTATTTATTTAATTATTATTTATCTAGTTTTCCGTCAAAGTTATTTATTTAATTATTATTTATCTAGTTTTCCGTCAAAGTTATTTATTTAATTATTATTTATCTAGTTTTCCGTCAAAGTTATTTATTTAATTATTATTTATCTAGTTTTCCGTCAAAGTTATTTATTTAATTATTATTTATCTAGTTTTCCGTCAAAGTTATTTATTTTAATTTCAATTTTGTCATTTTAATATTTTCCTAGACATAAAGAGTTGTTCTAAATATATAATGGTTATTTAAACCATGTATTAATATCTTTTACAAAATATTGAATGAAAAGCTTTTCACTTGGCTTTTTAGCATACTATTTAGTTTTGTATCTCTTTATAAATGGTAAATTTTTATCCTTTAATTTTATATTTTTCAACTGATGAGTGAATTTATATTTTTAAAGTTATGGACTATTTGCATCTATATCATTTGTGTTAATAAATTGTTTCCATTCAATATCTATCATCCTGGTATCACCTTTATTACTCATGCTTTTTGAATGATTATTCTAGTCTTGTCCATCATTTTGGCATGAAACCATGCATACCATTTTTGCAAAGGAAAAAGAAGAGAAAAAAAATAGAAAGAAAGTGAAACAAAACTCTATATATAAAAAAAAAAAAGTTTGTATTTTGCTTCCGTAAAAGAAAAGGTTGATGGTAAACTTGTAATATTTCATTTATAAAAATATTTTGAAAATTGAATTATTTATAATGACAAAATTATAATATTTAAATTTTTTCATTAAATTAATTTGTGAATTTTAAATTAGTATAACATGGTGAACTCAAAGAAGATTTCAATGTGATTTTTAAAAATAAATATTATCATTATAAAATAACATATAGGATTTTAAATAATTTTATTTCTTATAATATCCATTAAATTAAAAAAAAAAGATGCATTTGTATTATTCCATGGACACTTATAGAAAACAACATTATATAACATGTGAATGATCATGCCATCCTTTAATCAACAACAATAAAAAAGTTTATTTGTCTTAGTCACTTCATTATTAACATACACTAATTTTATATTGTAATATTGAATATTTAAAAAAATTAAAAAAATATCAAAAAATATTTTTATTTTTTAAAATTTATTTTTGGTATTAATATATTAAAATAATTTAAAAAAATTAAAAAAAAAAAACTTTAAAACGCTTATCCTAAGTCCTTTAATGGGGCAGATCACAGTCAATCAAGCAAAAAGATGGGTCATTTACACTAGGCTGAAAGCACTGAAACTGACATTGTTACGTCATGTTTGTTCCAGGTGTCATGACACAACTGGTGGTATGGAAAGTGGCCTGTACGTTGGCCTTTTCATCCTCGTACCCACTCTCCCAACCCAACCCAGCAAAGTAGCGAACGGTGGCATCTGTTCCAATTCCTTTTCATTTTCTTGTAATAATAGCATGAACGGAACACAGAGTAACCAAAATTTTGGAATCTCCTCCATTCTTGGGTCGCTTTCTTGCCCCTTCATTAATTATTTCCCCTCTATAAGTCCCCTCCTTTCCTCGCAAATATTAGACAAAAGAGTTAACCTGATGAATGCAGGGTAATGATATCATAAAGAAAAATCTGCAAATTCTAGCTACTGCTTTGAGAGGATTTTCTTCTTGAAAAATAAGTTTCTTGTTCGGTATTTTGCCTTTCATGATCTAGGTAAAGAGAAAGAAACAGAAAGTGAATCTGTGAGAGGTTCTTTCAGAAAGAGAATAACCTCTGCCTCTTTATTAGGAATTCTTTAACTCACTTCACTTTCATTTTCATTTAAAAGTTTCTTATATCCACTTAAAATTTACGAAAAGAGAATACATACAAATAAAGTGTTCATCCATTCTTACAACTCTTGTATGTGTTTTTTTGTACGAGAAAGAAAACAAGAACTGGGTTTGTGTTAATAACTAAAGATATTGAGTTGTTTGGGGAATGAATGGGAGTGAGATCATAATGGACTTTTGGCCTGAGTTTATTGCTAGCAGTTCGGGCAGGGAATTTGTGGCTGGTGGATTTGGTGGAATTGCTGGTATAATTTCGGGTTATCCTCTTGATACTCTACGTATCCGGCTTCAACAGTCTAACTCTGGCTCTGCCTTCAGTATTCTTCGCCGAGTTATGAGCAGTGAAGGGCCTGCTGCGCTCTATAGAGGCATGAGTGCACCCCTGGCATCTGTCACCTTCCAGGTAATGGCAAAACATGGTTTCCTCTATAGAATACTAGTCTATCTTTCCACTTTTGTTGTATGTTTCTTAATCTTAGTTTGAATACAATTTTGTCATAATCTGCTGAGTTTTTTTTATTGCTGTGATATCTTGGAATGTTCAAGTTCTTGCGGTGAATTTTAAGTGATCATAAATAGGATTAGCACCTTATCATGATTAGGTCATATTTTCAATCTTGTTTGATCCTATGAGAGTTGGGTTTCGATTTTCAAATAGGATAATGAAGTTGATGTCTAGTGAAAAACCTTAGTGAGATGGAGTATGCAAGGAATATGGCAATGATGAGATTCTTGGATTGCCTTTTTGTCAATGATTCTGTAACTTCCAAGTGGTGGAAAGCGACTGGTTTTAATACTTGAAGAAATGTCATTCTCAAGAATCCGCCTGCTTATGTGATATTGTTGGTGATAGCTTATTGTGTCTCCTCCATTTCCAGTCTCGTATAAATCATGGATCTTATTTCCTGATTTTCATTTCCATCAAAAGAAAGGAAGCTTTATGACTTTCCATTTCTGATACAGAAGAAAAATTACTGTATGGACTCAGTCCTGACCAACCATACAAATAGATGATCATTGTTTTTGCATTGCTTATGCTGGTTCAGGGACACTGACAATGTGTGTGGATTGCAGAATGCCATGGTTTTCCAGACCTATGCTATCCTCTCGAGAGCATTAGACTCATCCGCTTCAGCTAATGATCCTCCTTCTTACAAAGGTGTTGCTCTAGGAGGAGTTGGTACTGGGGCAATACAGAGCATTATTCTTTCTCCCGTAGAACTGATAAAAATTCGCCTCCAACTGCAGAACAGAAGTCATGCAAATCTCCAAGAGGCTGCTAGTCCCAAAGGTCCACTAAATGTTGCCAAGAGCATACTGAAAACAGAAGGTCTAAAAGGAATGTACCGGGGTTTTGTGATCACAGTTCTGAGAGACGCACCTGCTTATGGTGTCTACTTTTGGACATATGAATACATGAGAGAGCAGTTTCACCCTGGCTGCAGAAAGAATGGTCAGGAAAGCGTACGAACCATGCTGACGGCAGGAGGCCTCGCAGGAGTTGCTAGCTGGCTCTGCTGCTATCCATTAGATGTTGTGAAAACCAGATTACAAGCTCAATCACCATCCTCCCAACTTAAGTATAGAGGCATTCTGGATTGCTTTAGCCGGAGCGTTAAAGAAGATGGTTACTGCGTGCTCTGGCGAGGTTTGGGGACTGCTGTTGCAAGAGCTTTTGTAGTTAATGGAGCTGTATTTGCTTCTTATGAGACTGCGTTGCGGTGTCTTTTCAACAATGGAAACATTCAGACAGAGAACACCATCTAGGAAAAATTGATCTTTTTCCGGTCAACAGTCATTGGCATGTATCTGAATGTAATAATTCAATGACAATTAAAAAAAAAAAATGCATCAGGACAAATATGTTTTCATCTTCTTGCTTTCTCTCTATGTAGAACCAACTGAAACAACCGGCAATCAGACTCCATCATCGATCATCCCCTGTCACAGTATCATCCAACTCGCAGCTTCTTTTCACTAAATGTATTTGTGTTTTATTCTACTTGATAGTAAATTTGTTTTTTATTTTAATTTAAATTTTAAATTGATGAAGAAAGTAAATTATATTTTCCCACGAAAACAAAGAAAAAAAAAACAGTCTATAAAAGAAAAAAAAAAGTAAATTATATCTTCATAGTATTATGATCCACATGTTTTCATTTACATCAAGATTCAATTATGTGCATTGAGTCAATAGTATACATTGTGTTTCGTCGTGAGTGATAAAAAAATTTGACGAAAAAAAAAACGTAATTATTGTTTGTGTTTTCTAGCAATAAAAAAATAACGATTGTAAATTTAAAATTTGAAGTATACATATGTCCCAATAAATGCCAATGCTATCATAATGCTAATATTTGTTTAATTATATAGGATTACGTGAAATAGACATAGATTAAAATATTTGGCTATGCTCCACAAGAAACCATTAAAGTTATTTATTTATATGATGATATTTTTTTATATAAAAATTGCAATAATTTAAATTTAATGCTAGTATAGCACCTACTTCTCTCATTAATATCCATTAAAAAAAAATGTGGTTGCATGTCATTCATTTAATAAAAAATAAAAACAAAAGCATCCACTACTAACATAAAAAAAAATCTTGGATAATTTAAAAAAAATATTTATCAAATCAAAAAATAATATATCTTATTAAATCATCACGTGGCTTAATTTGAAGACCTTCGACCCAGCTAGTTGCTTATCTACCCAAACTAAATTTAACTAAAAAATATTATAAATATCATCTTTTTAATTTTTTTATGAACAATAATATGATAATATTCTGGATGAACTCGAACTTTAAGGTGTGACCAAGCTAACTTAATAAACTAAGCCAAAACTTGGTATGTGTTTTTTCTTATAAAAATGAAAACAATATTGATCCAACATTTTCCATAGAAAAAGGATGGGTAATGACATTTTGGATAAATTTGAGTCAAAATAAGTTAATCAGCTCAACCCGTAACCTAGATCATAGCCCCTGATAGGTTTAATATCTTATCTTTTGGAATCTAGTTTTTTATTTAATTGAATGGTTAGTATTTAAAAAATAAAATGGAAGGTCTTAGTTAAAATTTAAATAAAAAAATAAACTAAAAAAGGGCTTGAATAAAAATTTGAAAGACAAAAATAAAAAAAGAAAGAGTAAGGCATTTTTTAACCTAGTAGTAACTTTTAGTTTGCCAAGCTCATTTGTCTAGCAAGAAACCTAAGCCCAAACATATCTAAATTTATTTTTTATTTTTTTCTTGTATATTTTTTAAAATTTTTAATGATATGTCATTTATAAACTCAAATTCATTTAAAAATATTCTAGAAACCTTATAAAAATAAGGTCCAATTTTTTAAACCTGAAAATACCATTTTCCAATCTATTTTTATCCAAAAACATACTAAAAAACACTCTAGAAATCTTAATAAATCCATTTATGGTCTTAAACTTGGGGAGGGGGGGGGTCCAAAAATACAAAATCAACTTGATTAAAAAGACACTTCTTAAGACCTTATATAAAAAAATTCTTAGGTAAGATGAATCCAAATAACACTTTAATAAAATTCTTCTCATAAAAAAAAAGTTTATTGACATAAAAAATGATATTTTTAATAGTCAAAGTCATGGTCAACCAATAACATTCTCTTTCCTTCATCATTTTCTACCGGCCCTCTTTTTTTTCTATCAAACCAAAGACCAAAATAAAAACAAAATATAATATTGGACCAAAACATCTATTTCCTAAACTAAAGAGATCAAAATGGAACTTTGACAAAACTCTTAGGTAAAATTTAGAACAAAAGTAGAGGGATTAAATTTTTTTAGAACAAGACTGCCTTTTCTCCTCTTATTTAATTTTGATCCTTTAACTTTCAATGTTATTAAAACAATAAAATCAAATTGATTTTTGCAAAATCAAGAAGCAACTCAATGGCAAGATATTTTTTCAATACTAATATAATCTTATATAAATCATATAAGAACAAATTATGAAGATCTATTTAAGAAAAATACAATTTTAAAGGCTAAATAAAAAAATAAAAAAATAAAGAATAAAAAAACATTATTCTAATGAATAATGCTTTATAAAAAGAGTTACAATGAACTCAATAAATATTTTAGGTTTTTTGTAATTGTTAGGGTAGTCTCAAGTTCAAAAATAGAAAGTGTAATAAATATAGGAAAAGAAGAATTATCATGATTATAAAGTGAATCAAGTAAAAATAAGTTATTTTATAGATATGATAACTAATTATTAATATCACTAATATATTTTATGTGATTCCTACTGTTGAGGTATGTAGATGATTTATAGGTACCTAAGATTCTAGTCTTAACTTCATCGTGTGAGATTCTTTTATTTTTTTAAAAGTTAGCATTGTATACTATATGTATATTATTTTAGGAAATATCTTAGAAATGTTATTAGATATGCTCTACAAAATAAATAAGCAATTACAAATTCTAGAAAGCTATATATTTAAAAACAAAAAGAAATAATAAAAAGTTAATCATAGCTTTTATCTATTAGACATTTTACAAGATATTTTATTATTGATTTTAGTTTTAATCTATTTATATAAAGCATTAAAAATTTATTTTCAAGTCTTACTATATCTAGCCTCTACTATAGCATATTTAACTAATTATAATCTATTATTTTCATGTAAAGAAATAGATACCACCACAACTTATCCTTAAAAATCTTTCAGTTAACAATCATCAACTCTAATAAAAGCTATACAACCATATAAAAATCCAACCTTCATAGCTTTTAGAAAAATAAAGATTCTTTAAAACTTATAGGAGAATGGACATTAAAATTAAAATTATGACTAAACCCTAAATAAATAATAAAATCAAACTCTTTTAATAACTAAATATATCTAGTCAATTTCATATAAGATTTTTTTTATAAATATTATTTCTGCTTTATTTCTAGCCCTTCATGGTAGCATTGAGTGAGGTATTATTTCAAATTGATAGTCTAAATTGGTTTGAAGTACTTCATTAAGGAAAGAGGGGTCAACACTAGTAGCAATTTTTTAACAATTTATATAGATTTAGCTATTTTGGTTATAAAAAGTCTAATACAAATATGATTACATTTAAATGACTTAATAATAAAATTTATACAAATAAGTAATATAAAAGCATAAATCCTCGACTCATAATCATACAATGTGTAAGCATCTTTTCCTTTTAATTAATTTTTTTAAATTAAAAATTATGTTTACCGTTATATTCCTTTTAGATATGCCTAAAATTATACATATTATTGAACATTTCACACTTCTCAAATATTATGGACCCATAACAAATTATTTTTCATATTATTTTAAAAGTTGGATTTACATTTTTTTCTTGTTTTTTCCCCTTTTATTTATTTCTTTATTTTAACCGATGGCAAACTTTTTCTTCAAATCATAGTCACCATCTTCACTACTTAGTTTCTATTCCTTCTCATTTTTAGAATCATCATCTAATTTAGTCTTTATAAGAAAAAAATCATCATTATTATGAATGTTGTCAATCAACTTATTCTCATCTTTATCTAAGAATTAAAATTTTTCATATGATGGAATGTAATCACTATCCCAACTATAATTGTCATATCATAGTAATCTTCTTCAACCTCAATCTTCATATCATTACTTAGAGACTTTTTATCTAAATCAATATCTAAATTACTCCTAGTGATATTTTTATGGTCTTAAACTAAGTTTTACCAAATCTTTCTTTTATATTATATGTTTTTTGATTATCTTCTGTCACAATATCATCCAACTTATAGTTTTTTTCTATCAAATGTATTTATGTTTATTATACTTGAAAATAAATTTATTTTTTTATCTTATTTTAAATTTTAAGTTGATCAAGAAAGTAAATTATATTTTCTTAAAACACAAATATATATATATATATAAAAAAAAACAAACAGTCTATAGAAGTAGAAGGCTTGATATAATTTTTCCTTTCATTTATCACATTTAGATATCTCTACAATTAATGCCATATTATATATTATATTAATAGTTTTCTATTATAATTTTATCTTTTATTATTTGATTAATTGTTGCAATGTTAAATTTTTTTAAAATAGTCTCGATGGTTCCATTAACCATTGTTGAAAGCTGCTTTTGGATTTTTCTTTATCTTTTTTTTTCTTTCTCCTACTACTATTAGCTTTTGGATTTTTCTTTATCTTTTTTTTCTTTCTCCTACTACTATTTATGCATATGTTTTTTCATCTTAATATCTATCAACAAATGCATATGTACCCTTCCAACCACCATTTCTTCATAATAATAACCAATAGTTACACACACCTCATCTTCATCTCCATTTTCATCTTCATTTTCATATTATTATTATCTACATTTTTTTCATTTCATCAAATGTCAATAATATATACTAGTTACTTGGCTTGTGTTTCGTTGCGAGTTTGATAAAAAGAATTGATAAAAAAAAATTATAATTATTGTCAATGTTTTCTAGCAGTAAAAAAATCAGATCACGTATATGTACATTTTTTTTATTGGCCTTATGGTCCTAGAAATGACTAGTTTCTCCCTTCTCCTCCAATGCCGTCTTTATTCTAATTTCATTGTATTCAAACATATAAAATTTAAAATGAATATTTAGTTTTTATATTAAAAATTTTTATTTTTACATACTTGAATTTTATACAATTTTTTTTTTTAGTTTTGATGTTCAATAGATTTTTTTAAAAAATATATATTTTTTAATTATTACGAATAAGGCTATCAATGGACTCCATCTATCGGTATAAATTCTAAAGAGTTTGAAAATCGGTATAAATTCTAAAGAGTTTGAAAAAAATTTATTGCACATGCCACTTTAATTGTTACATCACTAAAATAATTATTCTGTCAGTATTTTTAAATATTGAAACAAAATTACTTTAAATATCAC